GAGAGAGAGAGATGTAAAGAAATAGGAGGAGGACGTCCCGCGATTGCGAAAAGTGTAATTCCTCGCCTTTTGCTCGCTCAAGAGGCAAGCGGTACGATTTCATTCTCCACCTCAAGCATCTTCGTATCGTTAGCGACCTTAAGGCTTCTGATTCCTCGCTGCAGTTGAATTATGACGTCATGGACGAGAAATTGTGTCAAATTTCCTCTCGCGTTAAGTATACGTTCAGATAAATTAATTTCTCGCGTATCACCATTCACGCTTGATAGTGTAGATTAGTGCGAATTGATTGAACATAACGTTTCTCAGTTTATAGATTTTATTTCTCGCAATTACGTTATTAATATTAGTTCAACTGTCTAATTAATTTAATCGTGTCGTTATTGCAGCTCAAGCGCTCTTAGTATCGCACAAGTCTTTTTTTTTCTCCAGATTCGCATAGATGTCTTCTAAAGGCGCGAAACTTGTGTTTCCTCGAAGCTTGTAGTTTTATAGATATTGAATCTCAAGCAAACCGGTTTCAATTTCCTTTATTGCCCATATTAAAATCATTCGATTTGTTTCGAATCGAACGACGTAGTTTGATGGAAATTTATGATATTTACATACTTTGTTGGCGGTCTCTTTTATGATCGCAGAGAAAAAGTCGCTAATTTTATTGTGCGAATGTGTTTGCTTCCCATTTGCAAAGCGGACGGATACAATGCGGCGGGCTAATCGGCGGTAGTTCTATCCCACGTTCAATGACTTTCCTTGGGTCCCGGGTGCTTGTAGACAGCAGGAAGTAATGAGAAGCGCTCATTTCCGGAATATGAAAATACCGGTCGGGACGGATTGAGTGTCGCGAGAGATCGTGACTGTGATCGCTCTTCCACTTACTATAATATACATTGTCACTGTGAAATTTTAGCGAATCGCTGTCGTAAATTCCACTATAAGATTTTTACAGACGGCGTTTCAACAACAAATTTTCTAACTAATTTGAAATCAATTTTTTCATAGCGCAAATAATATTTAATTTTGTTGATAATTTACAAAAATACAGCATCAATTGGATAAAACAAGAAAATTGTTGTGAAAACTGTTTAGTGTGGATAATCGACACCTAATTATATGATTCATCATGCTGTCTTATTATCGTGCTGTAATATTTCGATGTGATAGGCGCGAAATCTCTCTCGATTTCACTGTAATCGTCGCGTCTTCAGTTATCCGACGCGAGCGCAAATCTTCGCGAAACGTATTACATTTCCGAATACATCATATTTTCTCATCGTAAAAGTGCTACATAAAAAGATCAGTCAGATTCTCTTTCGTTTATTCGCGTACTGCGAAAAAAATCCTGTTGAACGGAACGTGCACGGGCGATTATCTTCCAAGAAAGTGATGACGTGAGTGATCGAGCGTGACACAGGTGTTGTTAGTGCACTATTCGCAGAGTTCGTAAATCAATGCATCGACACGCACGGCAATGAGAAAAGAGAAGAGGAAAGAGAAGCGAAGAGACAAAGCGGTATCGTATTATGCAAAGTAGGAAGATATTTCGAGAACGCGCCAATGTCACGTCAAAGAATTAAAGTGAGGTTCTTAATACGCACTCGCGCCAAACGAGCCTCGAATAACAATTCAATCAGCGAGATACATGTAGCGCGTTTCAAGGCTCTGCTAACAACTATCCTTTTTGGCTTTACGTCAAAGTGATTAATTCCGTTTTCATAGCGC